GGCACGCTCATGTGCATAATTTTGTCCGAAGTTACATGAATTTATGTGTGCACATGCCTGTGTGTCATTGGCTTCTTCCAGTGGGAGAAGTATCGGAAACAATGAACTCTAGTCATCACAACTATAAGCACGTCTGTGTATTCATTTCGATAGGCACACATTCATACATGCATGTCTGCTTGCTAGTCTGTATACATGTATATATTTTTATATGCTTATGCATATAGAAATGCGTGAAGTTTTTTTGTTCATGTGTGCGTGGTTGTTTGGTCACCTTGTGTGTAGCTAGCTCATGTGGAGGAGAGTTGGCCAGCCCTGCAGAGTACGTACCTCCGAAATAGCCAGTCACGACCCGTCCAACCTTGTCTATATAAACAGTTGAAGCGACCTGACTTGCCAGTTAATACCTGCCTTATCGCATAAACAAATCACAATCACTCATTCTATTCTCCTTATCATCTCAGTCACAGCCTTTGGAGGCGTTGCCACTGATTTCCTATTCTCTTCTGCTCGCGTCGTCTACCGCCGGTGACTTCAATTCCCTAGTCTCGGCGGCCTCCCGCGGCAACAGCCACTTCACCGCACGCTTCCAGCTTTGCGTCAGGTGGGCAAACTTCACCTGCCCGTTGTTCCCAGTCGGCTAAAATGTTCTTCCGTCTACTCAAAACTCTGTGCTCTCAAAGCGTTGGGCTCGGAGCGGCCTTCCTCAAGCAAGCTGGTGGATGCCGAGTCTCTAGTCGACCGACTTGCTTGTCTGTCACTTTCCTGCTCATGCTGGTCTTTGTGGGATCACACCTTTTTTCCTCCACGAATACTGCTGAAGGTAAGCCAAGTTACATGCTCTATTCACATTCTATTCCTCAATAGGTAGTTTAGCTATTTATGTAGTTTTATCGTCTTTTGCCTCAGGCTTACAATGCTCGTTTAACTGTGATTTGTTTTCCTTGTTTTAGGAGGTAAGATCTACATACTAATGAAAGGACTAAACTTCTCTAGGCCCTGCCCTGAACGTGGTCACGACTTCCACTGGAGTAAGTAGATGTTAGTTTGCTTACATCTTATATCAAAACTTAGATTTATCATACATTTTAAAGCTAGGAATTCTCATTTTAAAGAAGTTTGGTAGCTAGCTACCACAGTATTAGAGTTTTTCGAGATCGAACTACTTGAATTCGCCGTCAGAGTTTGGTTTACCACTTTCA